AACAATACTCCCTCTTTGCTTCTTAGTTGACCTCAATTTTGGCTCAGAACGGGAAGAGTGATTGTGTAGATTCACTCTGCAAGCAGAAGCAATGAGGAAAGTAGGAAATCAGGAAGGATTTCGGGAAATGGGACACGAGGTAGTGATTCCAGTTTCAACTCATAAAAAGGTCTCAGATTATATGCAGAAGACATTGGATGACTGTACGATAACATAGGTTTGGAGGATAATGCACTCTCCTCTTTTCTTTTCAATCTTCATTTGCTTCACTACTTCATAAGTTTGAACCTAAAACACAAACATGAGTTTGAGGTGACTCACAGGAGAGGAAATGCAGGGTAGGATGGCTGAGGGTGAAGTTTACAGTCTGTACAGTGTAGATAAACCAAACCAAACCAAACCAAACCAAACCAAACCAAACCAAACCAAACCAAACCAAACCAAACCAAACAGTGAACTCTTGATAGCAAGAAATAAAACGTGAATTGACTATCCCAGCACCTGTAGAATTTTAGCTCTTTGCCTGACATTGCTGCTCTTCCCCTTCCCTCCTCTTCTTTTTAGGATGACACTGAGCCATATTTTATTGGAATATTTTGCTTTGAAGCTGGCATTAAGATCATCGCACTGGGTTTTGCTTTCCACAAAGGCTCTTATCTCCGAAACGGCTGGAACGTGATGGATTTTGTTGTCGTCCTTACAGGGTAAGTGATCTCCCCCTCTCCCCGCTCTCTCTCGCCCGTCTCCACAATTCGTAGAAATTATGCTGAGAGTGAGTTGCTTTGATGCTTATTATTATCATCAGCAAGGTGAAGAAGAGAGTATGATGCTATTAAGATTCTATAGTAAAGCTATATTTGAAGACTTACAGAGGAGCTGTTGTGGAGGTGAATTTGGGCAAGCCTTTGTCTAGCCCAAGTTTATGAACACACTTAAAAAATAATAGATGGTTGGCAGATCTTAACTCTGAAGGCAATCCTTTTCATTTCTTTCTTCTTCTTTTTAATGCCAAATCGTCTTCTGAAAACTACAGAGCAGTTTTAAAAGCAGGAATGTTTTAGAGGTGGATTAGATCGGACAATATGTGAACAAAAGGAGGTTCACTTTGCCTTTGAGACCAAGAAGAATGCAAAGGGGTAGGAGTCACGAAGTAGCAGAATACTGAATAAAAATGATCAATACGCTGGATATTTTGGAAAGATGATGATTTGCTCCTCAGTTATAAAACATCTAGTTGTGCCCTATTTTGAGCTTCTGGATATGGTATAATAAGGAGTGGGTGTCCATTTTCCTCCTTGTACCTTTACAGTTATTGACTGGTATAAACTGAGAAGTACCTCAGGCGTGTTGCTGAGGTGAAATACCCAACTGGCATCTTTGGATCATTTGGGGGATTGAGTAAAGGGGTTTGTGTGAGGGGTTGGCAAGGGGAATGGGGTAGTCCTAAGTAAGGTCGGCAAGCAACATAAGCAGGGGCTGCATCCCCAAGTATTTATATAGATGGCAGACTGGCTTAGAGGTATTTCGCCTTTACTCATGGACAGGTCTATGTGTTTGTCTGCTGTAACATGTGCCATTGCACTGAAACTAAATAAAGTGTACACCTGGCTCTTCATAGTAATTGTTTTATTCACATGTAAATTGGTTCAACGTGGCTAATCAGTTAAACTCGTATGTTCAGATGGTTCAGTCTTAAGCATGCTTGCTCCAAAGTAAGATTAGCATTCATGTTCAGTTAAGGAAGCTATTGTATCTAGCTAAGTTCTACTCAGAGCAGTACAGTCATACCTTGGGTTACAGATGCTTCAGGTTGCGTTTTTTTGGGTTATGGACTGCCGAAACCCGGAAGTACTGGAACGGGTTACTTCCGGGTATCGGTGGCTGCGCATGCACAGAAGTGCCAAATTGCAACCCGAGCATGTGCAGATGTGCTGCTGTGGGTTGTGGATGCTGTGGGTTGTGAATGTGCATCCCACACGGATCACGTTCGCAACCACTGTACACAAATGAGTCATGTCCATCCATTTTAGTGTGTCTGCTCTGAGATGGGATGAATAATGGTTACAAACCTTAATTCTTAATGTAGTTAAAATAAGCACACTAAACCAGAAATACCTAATAATGGCCTACTTGGATCAAGGGAGTGCTGTGAACAAAGCGTATCTTGATGTCAGTAGGTTTTTGACTAAGTCCCCCATGATATTCTTGTGGAGATATGTGGGCTGGACAAGGTAACTGTTATGCGGATTTGTAGCTGGTTGACTGACCGAACCCAAAGAGTGCTCAATAACAGTTCCTAATCATCCTGCAAAAAAGTGACAGTTGGGGTGCCACAAGGTTCTGTCCTGGACCTGTTGTTGTTCAACAACTTTATAAGTGATTTGGATGAATGTATGGAGGGGATGCTCATCAGATTTGCAGATGGCTGGAAGGGGATGCCAGTGCTGCAGAAGACAGAATCAGGATTTAATATGATCTTAACAGGTTGGAGAACTGGGAGAAAACTGACAAAATGAATTTCAATAGGGACAAATGTCAGGTTCTACACTTAGGTAGGAAGAACCAGCTGCCCAAATCTAAGATGGGGGGCACCTGGCTTGCCAGGAGTACATGTGAGAAGGATCTAGGAAACTTAGTAGATCACAAGCTTAACATGAGTCAGCAGCTAATGCTATTCTAGGCTGCATCAATAGACATATATTGTCATGATCAAGGTAAGTAATATTACCACTCTATTCCCCCTTGGTCAGACCACACCTGGAGTACTGTATCCAGCTCTGGGCACCACAAGTTATGAAAGATATCCTAAGCTAGAACGTGTGTAGAGGAGGACAACCAAGTTGATCAGGGGTCTGAAAATCAAGCCTTATGAGGAACGGTTGAGGGAGCTGGGTATGTTTAGCCTGGTAAAAAGGAGACTGAGAGGAGGCAGGATCACATTCTTCAAATATCTAAAGGGCTGTCACATGGAAAAGGGAACAAGCTTGATTTCTCTTGCTCTGGAGGCTAGGACCTCAGTTTACAAGAAAGGAGATTCTGACTAAATACAAGGAATAACTTTCAGACAACTATCAGCGGAAAGGACTTTCTTGGAAGTCAGTGGACTCTCCTTCCTTGGAGGTTTTTAAGCAGAGGTTGGATGGCCATCTGTCATGGATGATTTAGTTGAGATTTCTGCATTGCACAGGGTTGGGCTGGATGCTCCTTGGGGTCCCTTCCAACTCTACAGTTCTGTGGCTCTAAAAATGTCAATAATAGCCTCATCATGTTTATATGAAAACATCTAAGAATGGAAAACATATTAACCCAAACAGGTCTTTCTCAATGGTAATATATTTCCATTTACAGCTGAGTGGAGGAAACTGGTGACCCTTCAAACGTTGCTGAACCACAGTTTCTGTTGTTGCTAACAATTATGCTGTTTGGTTGGGAGGTGGGAGTCCTACAAAATCTGGAGAGCCGCATCCCTTTATTTAAGACATTTCTATTCTGCTTAATTGGGACGTGGGTGGCGCTATGGGTTAAACCACAGAGCCTAGGACTTGCCAATCAGAAGGTCGGCGGTTCGATTCCCTGAGATGGGGTAAGCTCCTGTTGCTCGGTCCCTGCTCCTGCCAACCTAGCAGCTCAAAAGCACAAAGTACAAGTAGATAAATAGGTACTGCTCCGGCGGGAAGGTAAACGGCGTTTCCGTGCGCTGCTCTGGTTCGCCAGAAGCGGCTTAGTCATGCTGGCCACATGACCCAGAAGCTGAATGCCGGCTCCCTCGGCCAATAAAGCAAGATGAGCGCTGCAACCCCAGAGTCATCCGCAACTGGACCTAATGGTCAGGGGTCCCTTTACCTTTATGCTGCTTAATTATTCACATTTCTAAGCAGCGTACATGAATACAATCCACAGAAATGGGGACAATTAAATAATCAAAAATTATAGGAAAACCAAACACTTCCTTAAAATGCTGCTGGAACAAGAAAGTCTTTGCCATGTGCCTGAAGTTCACCAGGGTGTGCATGTGCCTGTTTAATCTCAGTTGGGAGGGAGTTTCAAATGCACCTTTTCTAGTAGTTACAAGCCAGCCATCTGAGCCATGGTAGACTACCAACGGAGATTCCTGCAAAAATCATAGTGATCAGGCATGGAAATAAGGGATCGGGGGGTCCCAAAGATTTCCTAGAGTCACAGTGCAAGGGGCATTGTAAATTACTACAAGAATCTTTACTACAATATTTTCCCCCCTAAACCGTATGTAGTTCTTGGTGCTCTTATTTGAGGATATTCCCTTTTGCAAGACTCATTGAGTTTGAGTGGACTTACTTCCAAGGAAGTTCAGTTGGGGTTGCCATTTTAAGGTTTATTTTCTTTGGCTTACAGCCCAGACTTAACTCAGAGTAGAGCTTTCTCAGAGTTAACTGAAGCTAGTAAATTTCAACTGAATGTTCAGTGGCTCAAACTCAAGACTGCTGAATGCCAATAAGTTTCTCTTCAGTGCTCCAAGTGAGTATATTATGTTCATAATCAAGGTATATCCCCTCCCTGTTCTTTTAAATATATACCTATAGGTAAAATGGGATTCTGATCTGTGTCTATGACAACGAGAACAGCTTGGTTATGTCTGAGTTGTTCCAGATTGATTTTCTGTTCTGAACTATGCCTTCATGTATGTGGCATAAAACTTAAAATACTGTATTTTTCAATGTATAAGACTAGGTTTCCCCCCTAAAAAATAATGTCAAAAATTAGGGGGCGTCTTATGCACGGGGCCATCTCCCCCCATTTTCTTAAATCTGAGTCCCCCAAAATAGGCGGCGTCTTATACATGGGGGCGTTTTATAGACAGAAAAATACGGCAGTTGCTCTACCTTGTGGAAAAATCATGAGTAATGGGATCTATTGGGAAACCCTCCTAAATATTATAGTAGGTTGTGTGTCTTCATAGCTTAGGGTTTTATTCAAAGTTTGACCTGCAGCAGTAGACTCATTAAAATTGATGGGCATGACTGACTTGGAAAGGACACTTGCTCTATGGTTAGAGCATCTGCTTTGCATGCAGAAGATCTCAGGTTCAATCTCTGCTATCTCCAAGTAGGGCTTTTGAAGCACCATCAGGGAGTTCTTCCCATTTAGTCTAAATCTCTTCCCTCTTGCGATTTGAACCCATTAGTTAGGATCCTACCTTGGCGGAGGGACCATAGCTCAGAGCTAGAGCAGCTGCTTTGTGTGCAGAAGGCCCCAGCTTCAATCCCAGGTATCCCCAAGTAGGGCTGGGAATGTCTCAGCCTGAAACTCCAGAGTTGTTGCTAGTCAGTGTTGACAGTACAGTGGAAGCTTGGGTTGAGAACGTGATCCGTGCGGGAAGCATGTTCGCAACCCGCAGCATTCGCAACCTGCAGTGCCGTGTGTGTGCATGCGTGGGTTGCGATTTAGTGCTTCTGCACATGCGCAGCCGCCAAAACCTGGAAGTAACCTGCTCTGATACTTCCGGGTTTCGGCGCGTCAGTAACCCGAAAAAACGCAACCTGAAGCGTCTGTAACCCGAGGTATCACTGGTCTGATTTGGGTAAATATTAGTAGGTCTGCTCTGAGTAAAATTTAGTTGGATACAACACTTTTATTGCATAGGGGACTCTTAAGAGAAAGGAGCCTGGTGACGTGTGGGGCAAGGGTATTTTCTGTTCCATTGCTTGAAAGAAGTTAATTATTTTCTGGGGTGCTGCTGATGGATGCTGTCTTAGTCATAGGATCATAAACAAAGATGTGATGTTACATATGCACACACGATGTAAGCGATTCGTTTTAGAAAAAAAATGCCAGCCTTTTTTTTTGGTATCATTATTGCAAGTAGTTTTAAGTGCTGTTTGATCTTTGAATATAATTGCACAATAGCAAGTTTGATTAGACAGCTGTAATAAGAAGCCTTGTTGCTCTCATCAAACACATGCATTCTTTTGAAGTGCAAGAGTGTTAATGTCAAGGCTTCTGGCTTCTCCTGCTGATCCTAGCTGGGATGTATTGAAAGTGTCTTGTACATGGGGCTTCCTACCAGGCGGGCAGCAGGGAGAGGACTTTGTATAGATAGTTGGTGACATTTCTTCGCAGAGAGGCTCTCTGCGGGGAAGAGGTTGCTACATTAACTGTAATGCCTGCCATTTCAACTTGCAAGACCAAGAGCAAAAACCAAACAAACACCCCTCCACAGCTTTATTTCAACACCACCACATATTGCTGAAACATCTAGAAATTTATAACTGGTTCACTGAATGATCATTACCTAAATACAGTGGATACTCAGGTTGTGAATGTGATCCGTGTGGGATGCATGTTTGCAACCCACAGCGTTTGCAACCCAAGTGGGTTGCGATTCGGTGCTTCTGCGCATGCACAAAGCGCAATTTAGCGCTTCTGCGCATGTGTAACCACCAAAACCCAGAAGAAATCCGTTCCGGCACTTCCGGGTTTCGGCGGTCCGCAACCTGAAAAAACGCACCCCGAAGCGTCTGTAACCCGAGGTATGACTGTAGTGGGCAAGGGTCATTATATTCAAATATCTAAAGGGCTGCCACATGGAAGATGGAGGAAGCTTGTTTTCTGCTGCTCTAGTCCAGAGGGTAAGACCCAAGCCAATAATTTCAAATGACAACAAAGGAGATTCTGACTAAACATTAGGAAGAACCTTCTGACAGTAAGAGCTGTTTGACAGTGGAATGGACTCCTGTCAGGAAACTGACTGTCAGGACGCTGACGAGTGTGCACCAGGGGAAAGGAGACTGGAGTCTGACTTGGGAGATGGGGCCTGTACCAGGCAGGAGGCAAGAGGCAGAGGCAGGAGAAGCTCCATAGCTGGAGGGTGGAGCACAGGATGGGTTGGGAAAAGAGGAGGAATAGTCAGGCCAGGCAAGTGAAGGGCCAGGTGTTCCTCAACTCTTTCTTGCACCACTGTCTCCCAGAACCAGGAGAGGATTGAAGTGGGAAGAGCAGAGGCAGCTTCCATGCAGGCAAAGCCTCCAGCTGTGTGTTTTAGCCTGGGGGGGGGGAAGGTAAATAAATGAGTGGAGAGAGAGTGCCCCCCAATTGTTGCAACTGCTCCATAGAGCACAGACTGGGGATTAGCTACCTATACACTAGACAGGTGTGCCATAGAAATGATTGTAAGGGTCAGCTTGGCAATAAACTTTCTGTCCTGTTCATTCCTTTGGCAGGGGAGTGCATTTCATAATTCCCTAGAAAGGCAGACCCTCCAAGTGTCCCTATTTTCCAGGGACATCTCTGATTTAGAGAAGCCATCCCGGTTTCTGATTTGACACCGGAATGTCCCACTTTTCCTTAGGATGTCCCTGTTTTCATTTGAGAAATGTTGGAGGCTATAGAGTTATCTGACCCCTGAACTGTCTGAAGGCAATCCTGTATAGGGAAGTTTTAAAAAAAATATTTAATGTTTTATTATGTTTGTATATACGTTGGAAGCTGCCCAGAGTGGCTGGGACAACCCAGGAAATTGTGTGGGGTATAAATAGTAAAATTATCCATATGGAATGGGACGTTCCTATTATCGAAGAAATGTTGGAGGGTATGGGAAGGTGGTGGAATCTCCTTCATTGGAGGTTTTCATACAGTTGTTCGGTGGCCATCCGTCAGGGTTTATTTAGCTGTGATTCTTGCATTACAGGGGGTTGAACTCTCCAAGTCTATGATTCTATGATCATCAAAGGTTGCTACTAGATGGTCAACATTTTCCAGGAGGGATTCAAGACCATAGCAGAAGTTTACATTTGCACTATTAAAGTGTTTTAAAGTGCTTGCCATGGTGCAACAACTCCACTTAAAATGCAATTGATGGCAGGTATGGCCTGTAGCTCTACAATTGTAGGATCCTTGTTTTTATCAACCCCTGCAAGTTTGGCTAATGACTAGGAATGATCATCGCTGAGCAGATGCATAAACACCCAATGAAGAGATTAGGATGAATGCTCACTGTCATATAACATGCCTGTAAATAAATTGGAATGAATGCTCAGCGAAGAAGTCCAACGGTAACCTCTGCATAAGCTTTGTCCAAGCACATCTGGATGAAGGCTCAATAAATAGTGTTTGATGGAGCCCAAAGTATCATGATAAGCCAGGTTTTCTGGTTTACCATGGCTTATTATGTGTAAGCAGCAAGGAATTACTGTATTTTTTGCTCTATAAAACTCACTTTTTCCCTCCTAAAAAGTAAGGGGAAATGTGTGTGCGTCTTATGGAGTGAATGCAGGCTGCGCAGCTATCCCAGAAGCCAGAACAGCAAGAGGGATTGCTGCTTTCACTGCACAGTGGTCCCTCTTGCTGTTCTGGCTTCTGGGATTCAGAATATATTTTTTCTTGTTTTCCTTCTCCAAAAACTAGGTGCGTCTTGTGGTCTGGTGCATCTTATAGAGTGAAAAATACGGTACATTCTGCCTGATTGCTCTTCCTTGGTCATGAGAAAGAGAAACTAACAGGAATCCACAATGAAACTTAGCTTCCCATTACAGCTAAGCCTAGAATGGCAGTTTCCTTCTCCCAAGCCAGTTGGAATCACAAACCAGACTTCAATAAACCATGGTGGTGTTTTTAGCTTAGGAATTCTGGCTTATTGAGGAGAAACAAGCCACTATCTCAGAGCCATATATAATGGAAACCCAAGCAGTAGCGAGGAAGTAAGTGCTGGCGCATGAGAAACCATGATAAGCTGGGAACTCAGGTGTGTAAATAAAGTGCATTGTCTTGGAACAGACGCAATTCTGACATGATGAACCTGCAATTGCTTCTTTGCATGACTATAGAACACAGGAAGCTAACTTATTTTGAGTAAGGTAAAAGGTCCATATAGTTTGGTGTTCTCTATAACAAGGGTGGAAAGCCTCAAGCTTGAGGGCCAAATATGACACACACACTCTGACCCTTGAGACGCTTTCTAGGTCACACCCCTTTCCTCAGGCTAAACCTCTCACTAAAAACTCCTTCCCTACAGTCCACCAGCCCTACTTTGCATTCTCCTTGAGTTTTATTGTCTGGATGAAATAAGTCATTGAATTCTGGTAGTGCTTTTGGATGGAGGACAGAGAGGAGAGTGAGTGAGAAACTAGCTGAATGTAACAAAGTAAAATTTACCCTGTTGCTCCATCCCTTTTGCAGCTGGCCCATCCAACTACTAGCATGTGGTCCCCAAAAGGCTGCCCAAAAGGGAATGTGACACTTGGTGTGACCTCTGTAGCAGCTGCTCTCCATGGTTTCAGGCAAAAGTCTACCCCAGGTGTACCTGTACAATCCTGGCTATTGAAACTGGGGGCCTTTCATTAAAGAGAGAAACCATGAAAGGAATCAAGTCCAACCAAAAAAGCTTTCTTCTTTTTTGCAGAAAACTCTGAACAAAGAGGACTGGATTAGAAAGGGATGAGCATGGAAATATTTGGCGCTGGCTACTTTTGAATAGAGCCTTTGAGAAAATAGCTTTGTTTGCTGGTGTGATGGATTCCATTTTGATTTCTTTTCTAAGACAAGGTGTCATTAAGCCAATTTCTTTTCAGCATCTCCAGCTGTGTGAGAGAAAACAGCAAAATAATCTACAGTAGTGAGGTTACTGTGGATACAGTATTTAATGTATGGAACTTTGATGACTTGGTTATTCCCAACCCTGACTTCCAACTTTGAATTTCATTGAGTACAGATTTGTAGTGGTGCATATCAGGGACGCTGACTTGCCCCCCCACATTGAGGGGCCCCGGTGTCACATGACACGTCCAGCCCCCACCCAATATGCCAGCACTCTCCCGGTGGCAGTGGGGGATGGGGAACACGGAGAGTGATCTTCACCCTCCATGTATCCTGCCCCTGCCCAGTGCACTAGTGCTTGCCCAGTGGCAGCAGGGGATGGCACCCCCATCAATATTGGGCAGGAGCTCAGCCCCTGTCCACAGATATTGAGGTGGCCGCAACCCCTTCCGCCCCTTATAATTTGCACTCCTGGTGCATATACGTAGAAGCCGTGTTTTTAATGCATTGTTATTGTAGCAGATTAGAGACTAAGCTATGACTCAGGAAATCCTTGTTTTGAATTTGCCTCTACCATATGCTGGGGAGCTGGTCTTGCAAAAGGGTTTCAGCGACCTCCCAAAAAGCAATTAAAGTGGCCACATTGCATCATTAAAAAAGAGGATACAAATTTACAAAGGCTGATCTGTGTTCAGATGCAGTTTTATAAATTCCTATAATTTAAGTAGAAATGCAATAGATCCTTTCATCATAGTGGGGGATGACTGTAGCCAGTATCCCTGCTCAGTCTGCTGACCAGATGCTACTCTTGTTGGGCTGCTTCAAGGCCCCTTCCTGTTCTCCATTCTAATGGTTCTTTATTTTTAAACCAGACTTAGGCTGGACCGCCCTTCTAACATCTTCAACCAGAAGAGTGCAAAGCAGAGCACATGGCCATCTATTCTAACTGAAAGCATTTTATGCCCAGGGTTGGTTACAGACTGAGCATTAAAAAATATATATATATTTGACATATGCTTTGGTCTCAGTGTTGTCTTCAACATTTCATTTTAATGGATTTTATGTTTTAATGCAGGATTGGGGAACCTCTTATCTCTAGTCTAGGCCAAACTTGGCCTGCTGGGCTTCCCCATGCCGAGCCAAGACCACCCACCCTACACATGGTGTCATACAGGTAAGGGTGGAGCTTGGCCAAACTTGTTCGAGTGGCCAGAGGCGTACGAAGTGGGGGGGCAGTCCACCCTGTGTACCACTCTGGGTGTGTGTGTTACAAGATGCCCCCTGCCTCCCCCCAGCTGTAGAGTGGCCGAGGGTGCACACAGTCCATATGGGCGCCGCTCACGCTGTGTCCATACGGGCTGCCACTCTTATGCGCCGTCCATATGGGCTGCTGCTCTCTCACTCTGTCCATATGGGCTGCCGCGTGTATATACTCCGTATGGGCTGCCTCTCTCACAGCCGTCATATGGGCTGCCTCTCGCATGGCGACCGTATGGACGGTGCATGTGAGCAGCAGCCCGTACGGACTGTGCATGTGCGGCATCCTGTACAGAGTGTGCATGCACAGGATGCCGCACATGCACACTCCATACAGGCTGTCCCGCTCTGGGTCCCAGAGAGGGTTCCTCCACTGCTGTGAGTGGCTTCTCAAGTACCTGGTTTGCTAAAAGCTTTTGAAGTGCTTGGCAAAGCAGGAACCCAACGGTAAGCAAGATCACCCCTCCTCTTGTATTGGCAGCTGTGAAGGAAGGGTGATTCTGCTTGCTCTGGGTGTCCCCCTTTCCTTTGTCTCAACAGCTGTTGAAATGAAGGTGGGGGGGGGGAGGGAAAACCTTTTTTTTAGCAGCCCTCAGCAGCAAGTCGCTTGATTGGACCTGGGACCTTCTGCATGCAAAACGAATTTTCTGTCACTGAGCTAAGGCTCTTTCCAAAATAGTGTAGGGAGCTGCTTTATACACAGTCTGCCTGCTTTATTTTTGTTGTTTAGTCATGTCCGACTCTTCGTGACCCCATGGCCCAGAGAACACCAGGCATTCCTGTCTTCCACTGCCTCCTGCAGTTTGGTCAAACTCATGCTGGTAGCTTCAAGAACACTGTCCAACCATCTCATCCTCTGTCGTCCCCTTCTCCTTGTGCCCTCCATCTTTCCCAACATCAGGGTCTTTTCCAGGGAGTCTTCTCTTCCCATGGCCAGAGTATTGGAGCCTCAGCTTCAGGATCTATCCTTCCAGTGAGCACTCAGGGCTGATTTCCTTCAGAATGGAGAGGTTTGATCTTCTTGCAGTCCATGGGACTCTCAAGAGTATCCTCCAGCCTGCTTTATACCTGCTTTATACCTGCTTTGGGATGCGGGTGGTGCTGTGGGTTTAACCACAGAGCCTAGGACTTGCTGATCAGAAGGTCAGCGGTTCAAATCCCCGCGACGGGGTTAGCTCCCGTTGCTCGGTCCCTGTTCCTGCTCACCTAGCAGTTCGAAAGCACGTCAAAGTGCAAGTAGATAAATAGGTACTGCTCTGGCAGGAAGGTAAACAGCGTTTCCGTGTGCTGCTCTGGTTCGCCAGAAGCGGCTTAGTCATGCTGGCCACATGACCCAGAAGCTGTAATAATAATAATAATAATAATAATTTATTATTTATACCCCGCCCATCTGGCTGGGCTTCCCCGGCCACTCTGGGCGGCTTCCAAAAGAATATTAAAATACTATAATACATCAAACATTAAAAGCTTCCCGAAACAGGGCTGCCTTCAGATGTCTTCTAAAAGCCTGGTAGTTGTTGTTCTCTTTGACATCTGGTGGGAGGGTGTTCCACAGGGAAGGCGCCACTACCGAGAAGGCCCTCTGCCTGGTTCCCTGTAACTTGGCTCTCGCAGTGAGGGAACCGCCAGAAGGCCCTCAGTGCTGGACCTCAGTGTCCGGGTAGAACGATGGGGGAGGAGACGCTCCTTCAGATATACTGGACCAAGGCCGTTTAGGGCTTTAAAGGTCAGCACCAACACTTTGAATTGTGCTCGGAAACGTACTGGGAGCCAATGTAGGTCTTTCAAGACCGGTGTTATGTGGTCTCTGCGGCCGCTCCCAGTCACCAGTCTAGCTGCCGCGTTCTGGATTAGTTGTAGGTTCCGGGTCACCTTCAAAGGTAGCCCCACGTAGAGCGCATTGCAGTAATCCAAGCGGGAGATAACCAGAGCATGCACCACTCTGGCGAGGCAGTCCGCAGGCAGATAGGGTCTCAGCCTGCGTACCAGATGGAGCTGGTAAACAGCTGCCCTGGACACAGATTTGACCTGTGCCTCCATGGACAGCTGTGAGTCCAAAATGACTCCCAGGCTGCGCACCTGGTCCTTCAGGGGCACAGTTACCCCATTCAGGACCAGGGAATCCTCCACACCTGCCCGCCTCCTGTCCCCCAAAAACAGTACTTCTGTCTTGTCAGGATTCAACCTCAATCTGTTAGCCGCCATCCAACCTCCAACCGCCTCCAGGCACTCACACAGGGCCTTCACTGCCTTCACTGGTTCTGATTTGAAAGAGAGGTAGAGCTGGGTATCATCTGCATACTGATGAACACCCAGCCCAAATCCCCTGATGATCTCTCCCAGCGGCTTCATGTAGATGTTGAAAAGCATGGGGTAGAGGACAGAACCCTGAGGCACCCCACAAGTGAGGGCCCAGGGGTCTGAACACTCATCCCCCACCACAACTTTCTGAACACGGCCCAGGAGGAAGGAGCGGAACCACTGTATAACAGTGCCCCCAGCTCCCAGCCGGCTCCCTCGGCCTATAGAGTGAGATGAGCGCCGCAACCCCAGAGTCGGCCACGACTGGACCTAATGGTCAAGGGTCCCTTTACCTTTATACCTGCTTTATTCAGCCTGCTTTCTACCACAGTCTATACATTGGTCTACCTAGCTCTATCTTGCCTACACTGTCTGGCAGCATCTCTCCAGGATTTCATATAGGAAATTTCTCCTGCTATACATGGAGACACCAGGGACTGAACCTGTGATACTGGGGCTTTGTCTGCTGCCAACTTAAATAATGGTTGGTGTGACTATCAATGCCACTCATTTCCCTTTATCTTGCAACTAAGTATATTTGTATAAAACACCAGTTACTGCATCACTGATCCTGGGGTGTTGAGAATCTGCTTTGTCACAATGGAAAATTCTTTATGCTCTAAGCAGTTAGTTCCCTGCCTAGTCCAGGTTGTTGAAAACCAAAGAGTAAATCCTGTGGAAGGAATACTCATTTGGTGAGAATGCATCGGTACTGGAGAAAATTGTGTGTTAAAACATGGATACTAGTCAAAACTGCACACAAAAGTGTGCTCATTAGGAGACGTTTGTAATAAATAAAATAAACCCTCCCATGGTTCTCCACAAAATTAGTTTGGAATACGCCAAGCTATTTCCCCTTTTATTGTTTGTGGGAGTGGGGGTGGGGAGCCATAGGAGGAAGTAAGCTGGTTTTATTTGGGCTCCTCTCTCTCCTCATCAATGCATAGCACTTGATTCCAAAACTGCTCCCCTCCCAAATGCCCCCTATCTCTCTTCACCTTCCCTGAACCCCCAGTTTGAATCTTAAAACATTTGCTTTGGCCATTGCAACATAATGACCACGGGTTTTATTTTAATTTTTTTGGTCTGTCAATCTCAGACATTGGAACTTGTTAATTAGAAAAATAAATCAAGAGTTCTAGTGTCTTCTGCCAGGATCAATATAGCATCAAGCTGAACAGAAGCCTAATACATTGCAGCTGAAAGCAGCTTGTTCCAGAAAGCATTCGCTTGGTGTCTTAGAGCAAAAGGCTTTTGGTGCTGCTATCTTCTCCACTTCCCGGGAAACCTGGTGATTTGCTGTTAATAACAGAATGAGGGACATAGGCTTCTCTCTTCTTGACAGAGTATCTTTCCATCAAATGTGCCTTTTAAAATTCCTTTGGGGCAGCTGTGCACCAAGGCAATGGCTCACCCTGGGGAAGCCAACTTCCAGGTGGAGGAGAATAGGAGGGGGCTATTAATTTAGTGCCTGTTCAATTTACATGTAAACTGCTTAGAGGTTTTTGAGTTGTCATTGTTCTTTCTCTCTTTTTTTTTACAATCAAGTGGCACATAAATTTTACAAGATAAATAAATGATAAACACATATATTTCTACATCTTGGGATTTGGGTGGACCAACTCATAGGAACATTGGGTCCTGAGTCAGAACTCTGGCCCACCTAGCTCAGTATGGTCTGCACTGCCTGACAGTGGTTCTCTAGGGTTTCATACAGGGGTTGTCTCCCAACCCCACCTGGATTGGGATGCCTGGGATTGACCCCAGGGCCTTCTGCATGTAAAGCAGGTTCTCCACCCTTAAGTCGTGTTTTGCCTTTTTGTACCCTGAAAATTCAAGTATGCAACAGGGTGTCAGAAAGGTGGTGGTGGGGCTTGTTGAACTTGTGGGCCAAGGGAGAAATAAAATTGGAGTCTGAATTTTTTTTCCTAACCCTGCTGTTGGACATGAGCAAGCTTTATGCTGGGCAAAATACAATAGTTGAATTGCTATTGGCCATGGTAGGGGGAGGTTGTTGGGTTCAGCTGTAATGCCAGTGTGAACAGGAAGCCAGGATGATGCACTCAGCTCTTCTGTTTCCATACTTACAATTCATCCAATCTTGGTTCCATCCAAACCTCTCAGATTATTATTTGTGTTTGTCTGCAAATAGGGTAGTTGGGCATTGCCAAAACAAAAAGTACAAAAATAGAACACAGAGATTAGCATAAAATGTGCATGTGCATGGATTCAAGCTTATAAAATATCTGTCATGTAAATAAAAGCACAAAGGAGGGTATTGAATGTTAGTCGTACTCAGAGCAGACTCATTGAAATTGATGGAGAAGGCTAACTTAGATCCATTAATTCAAATGGTTCTTTTTTTAGTAGAATTTAGTTGGATGCAGCCCAACATGTCTCAGGATAGTGAGGGAGACTGTTGATCTTTGTAGTGGATCCCAGTGCTAACCACCAATTAATACGTAGTGGATTTACCCTGCTAACTGCCCCAATCAAATATAGCGGACCCACCTAATGGTATAACAATTAAATGAATGTCTACAATTTACTACAAGCTAGCTGACTGTGTGTGTGGGGGGGGGTCTTGTGTGAGTGAAACTGTGATTCAGGGAGTCTTGAACAGGAGTTAATCAAAGAAGGGAAGTTTTATTTACAAGAAAGAAAGAAATTGATGAAACAAAGTTGGGTCAGGGGAGATTAACTTATTACTAAAGTAATTACTTAAACTAAATATAAGGATGTCACAGGCTTAAACACAGTATTGCAAGCACAGCTGCTCACAAATTCCCTTTACTCAAAATCACTTGTTTCACTTCAGTTTCTGTTACTCCTTTCTAGTCCCTTATGCTTTGTTCGGGCAGATACTTCAGGTCAATGCTTTTAACACAGTTTATTATTTTGGTTCACAAGCAAAGGGTCACTTTTTGTCAGTTACCCACTCTCTTAGCAATCCTACTCCTGAGGTATTCCATTTAGTATAACAGACCCAGGGAATCCCCTCACCCCTTGTTACTGGCCTGGGAGTCTTCTTTAC